AAAGTGTCTGCAAACAGGATGCTGTGTGATCCCACAAATGTCACTGAATCCTGCTGTAATTACCATCCATAAATAATTTAGGTTGATCAGATTGTGTGGGTGTATAACAGAGTACAACATGCATTTCAACTCACTTTTTTATATTCCCTCTCTATCTTTAGAGATAATCGATTTTCAATGTGCTCCGTCTACTTGGCAGGATTTCAGAGGAGAGCGTGGAGTTTTTTGAGCGTATGAATGCCATCCTGCAGAAACAGGAGAACATGATGCGGGCGGCCCAGGCGGAGGTAACCCCCACCTAACTTCCGCATTTCTGTCTGTTACAGGCTTGAAACATGTACAGCGTGTGTAGCGAGTATAGATCTCTGCGCTGTCTTTCAGCCCACCACCATGACCACTCTGACGTCTATAGACAGACGGACTAGGTTAAGCAGGGCGCTCAAAGGGCTGGAAACTCGGCTGTGACAAACTGCTGTCGAGGCTGTGTTCAGTTTCTCCTACTGCCAATGCTAGACAGTGATGCTTTTTAAAAATTTGTAGCAAATGCTTGATGATTTCATTTCCAAATTGCTGTATCGCTGTCAGCAAAATAGCCAATAAGCCCAAAGCAAACTGCTGACTGTGATCAAAACAGAAGGTATATTCACTCAGCATGCCATTTATCATATTGTCTTCTGGAAACATGATTTTTTTGTTTGTTTGTTTTATTTTTCCCCTATCCGTCGGTGGCTATATTTACGCTTATTTATTTATTTTGTTTGTGTGTGCAAGATAGAAAGACAATTGAACTCTGAATTTCTATTCCACCAGAGGGATCAAGTTGAGTCAGATTCATTTGTATAGCGCTATTCAAACACAAGGTAAGTCAAAGGGCTTTACAGAGGGCTTTCCATGAGAATGAAATTGAGTGACATCCCATTCTTAATACATTGGGTCTAATCTGATTTCAGCCCATTCATTTCCACAAAGTTTAGGAGTTTGTTTATAGAAGTTTTTGACCATTTTTCCAGGAGCACAGAAGTTTGGACATTGATGTTGGCACTGATTTACGAGTTGTCCCTTGTAAACCCGTCCATAACTATTGACCATTTCTCCATTCTTGAACCAGTCGTCAGTGGAAGTTCAACTTCAGTTCAGTTTCAACTTTCGGTCTGGTTGTGATCATGTTGTCTTTCAGCACTTTTTGATGTTGTGCAGAATACATTGCTGAATCAATAACTACAACCTGACTGGCTCCTGAGGGTATGGGGACAAGACCATAATGTTTTTATGCCTTTATAAGGTTCTTTTCATAGCTGTCATTGGTCAACAACAAACAAATATTTGTGGGCCAATGACTTTGATCCATCATCAAGAGCACTTTCCTTTAGGCACGGTTTTTATCCTTGTGTTCAGTGGCAGGTTTGCTGTAATGTTCTTTTTGGAGAACAAAGGCATTTGACTACCCTTCAGTTTTTATGATTTTTTGACACCACCAATTACCTGCAGATCCTGTTAAATTATTTCGTTTTTTATTCTTTTTCGCAAAAGAGGGCAGCTCTTGTGGTGAGTTGTGCATTCATGGAAAAACTGCAAATCATTTGAAATCTGTGACACAGTAGAACATTTTTAATCAGATATGTGTCTTGAAGATAATTTCCATGAAATTTCCTCAGTTTTCAGTGAGGCTTCTTAGATTGTAATTTTTGCTTTTGTGTTTTTAGTTCAAAAAGATTATTATTTTTATATTGTTGTATTGATGCTATTACCCAAATAAATGGGCGTTGTACTTCTCCTACCACTGGAAGATTTTTTAGGTTGAAAAAACAAACAAAAAAAGCCAAACATGTGTCTTATAAGTTCTTCTTCTCAACACAGCCTTTATCCAAGGCCAATTTTATTTTGGCTGAACTGGTTTTGTCCTCTCGCAGTGCCAAAGAGGGGCCTGCACAGTTCCACCACCCCAAGAGCATGTGGACCAGGCCTTTATCCCCGACAGAATCAGCAGGACAGAGGTGCGTGAGCTCAGCTTCTCTGTTTTCATCTTATTTCAGCAGGGATTAAATCTCAAAACTCATAATATCAACACAGTTGAGGCTTTTTATTCCTGCTTTTGATGTGCAGTGGAGCAGAACGCATAAGGGCAAAAGAACACGAGCTTTTTATTTTTGAAAGGTTGTTATTAACTGGAGTGTGTTTTCATGTAGCTGGACCTGCTTTATGAGGAAGCTGTGTACACGGTGGTCAACAGGGTTGGAGTG